CAATAAAAGAGCAACCTTAACAACTATATTGTAAAATCCTATTTTATTATTAATATTGAATAATCCCTTGGAGCCAAGAGCTGCAAAGACTTTGCACTAAAACATAAATGATAAAATGAAAATGTTCCTAACACAGCTGCAGCACTGATATGATGATATGCCTGCTTCCATTGCCATTGTTGACTAATCTAAGGTTGCTCTTTTACTTGATTATATATATCTTTGTGCAAGACCTTCCTCAACTTTATATTTTGTGATGTTTATAACCCATATATATATAAATATATAATAAATGGAATTTAACAAGTGAACTCGTGGCTTTGCATTTCTCTTCCTCAGTATGCATTAATATATCATTTGTGCATTTGAACAGAAGGGTAAATAATACAGTTCCCATCAATAGGATTTATATACACATTGATCAGCGTGCCTGAAGACATCACCTTGCCTGTTTTTCATACATTGTTTTATGACACATACAGAAGTATTCAAACGAGAAAAATATAAATCAACCCCCTCCCTTAAAAGGCAGAAATGTATGTATGTTGCATAAGAATAAGAACTATTTATTTGGCTTTTTATTAAGAGCAAAAACTATATCAAAACACAAAATTGATCAGATACCATCATGGCACCAAGATGCCAGTATACAGTCATCATCTTTTACAGAATTAGAGGCAAGTAATGTTTTAAGAAACAAAAAGTAAATTAAATGAGTAAATTGTAGTCAAGACATGGTATTTGTCAGAACATTAGTTGCTGCCTAATAAAAGCCAGAACAATAACTGTGCATTCCTCCAGTTCCTGTTTCATTGTCCTTTCTGCTGAGGCACTGGTTTGAGTCTTAAAATTGCTGATGCGTGGGAGATTCCTCCGTCCTTCCTATGAGTGTGCTGTAACATGTCTGATTCATGTTACTGTAACATGTTGCTTACTCAAGGATTTACAATGTTTTCTTCTGTTATTAGACCACCACCTAGTGGGATAATGCATGTATTACGTTTTTTTTATCTATTATGAGCAGCACTTTACCAGTGATTATGTCTATAATTTATTCAATTGGACCACACACAATCTCACACACACACACACACACACACACACACACGAACACACCTGTTTATTATTCATTAAGACAGTGTATTAATAATGCCTTATATTTGCATTCTGCTCTCTTTATTGAAAACTTTCCCTTCAAATTATCAAAATGAAAAACATGAGGGCTTTTTGTTTAGCCTGTGTTATTGTACTACATTGTAATATAACAGAACTGTCAGGGGATGAAGTTCGGGTAAATGTGCTGCGTCATTCGCCTTTTGAACCAGTGTAGCACTGGATACTAAGAAAACGCACCTCAGTCAAAAAATGTGTTCCAATTCACTCAATTATGGACAAGCTTATGTTGACAGTGTAGTGTTTGTATCACTCTTTTAATTTCCTGTAAATGTATAGATTAATATGATTTACCTTCATTTTATATTTATTTATGGAACTTTATAAATGAGAATGAAATTAATAGACAGTTGCATTCAAATGCATTAATAATATACATTCATTTGCTGAATCATTATCTAATAGGTCAGCCCAATAGGTATACCATTTTTTATGTCAGGTGCCCACATGAACATATATTAATCTGAAGCTAATATGATGTTTTAACAGATTTCCTTTAATTCAAGTGGATATATTCCAAAGTCTTATTAGTACAGTAGTAATGGCCGGTATGAACGGGAGGAATGATTACAGCCAGCAAAGCCAATTTCAGTGCTCAAATGGGCAATTGATGTTTGAAAAATTGTGAACCTATCCTTTAAACAGCTTGAATATTTTCTTGTAACTCTGCAGCACCTAAAGCCAGGAGAGTACAGTAACAGAGTTGTGAAATCAGGTTCAGTCAGCTTTATTTACAAAGAACATTTGAAACTATATTATGATGGCATAAAGCACTGCACAATTTCAATACCCAAAAATTAAAAACCCAAAATACAGTAAAAGAGTAAAATGATTATAAATGGCCTATGTGGACACCACAAAAACAAAACAGGAAGAATTCAGTTAGATATAAAATCCAGAGAGAGGATGAGCTATTGTCCTTTTCATTGCTTTACTATGGGATGCAGCCCCTACTCTGATGAATCTCAGGGGCATTTCTTTCATTGTTTGTCAGCTCTCAGTGGTTGGCAGGATCATATGTCTCATTTCTCAATATCATGCGCTTCATAACAGTTTTATTTTGAGAGAGGGCATACAAAGCGACACTTTGGCCAGGATGGTTGCCAATAAATTCAGCCTGTGCCTGAGATACAACTGCTATTAGTACATTAAACTATATTTTTACAAAATAAATACATAAAACAATAATCTAGTTCCCAAGGGTGAATCTAGATAAATATTCATCACAGGAATATCATCCATCATCAAGCGATACATATCATTACTTTCTTGGAAAAGCCCCCAAATTAGGATATTTTAGCTCAAAAGCATTACATTATTGTGACACATTAGTAAAGCATTGGATAGAAATATCTAAAGGTGGCATTAGAAATATATAAACTGTTTTAATTCCAATTTTTTCCAAATACATGTCTTTTTTCACTGGACTTAAGCCTGCCACTAGTCTACAATGTGGCCATAACAGATGCTTTAGTTAGTTTCCGTTTAATTAATGTGTAAAATTTGAAAGCAAACTGGGGTGGCAGTTGAGGTGACTAGGCCTTTTTTAGGTGTGGCAGCTTCCAACCAATTCCACACTTCTAGACCTGCCCCTGCCAGTGCTTCAAAATTACTTGTGTGACACATGATCAAGGCAGACTGACACTCGGGTATTTACAGTATTCAGGGTCAAAAATCTTACTAAGTATAGAAAGAATATGAAAAAAACAATGCTGCTATAGAACCATAATGACAAAAAATACATTTTGATGTTTCAACGAATGTGTACACTAAACTAATTTTAACCCATAAACAACCTCGAATTAAGCATATCAAGACATTTTCAAGACATTTGAAAGTGGCAATGATTTTGTGACTGACTGTGAGTAGGCCTTGTGTAGTTTTAAACATTATACAGTAAGAGAAGACATACAGCATGTGAATCAAAAAATCACAAAAGACTGGGTTATACTGTTTACCAATTTAAACAGCTGTAGGATTTTCTTTTTTTTTGGAAATTACGAGAATAAAGTCGTTTTAATGAGAAAAAAGCT